ACATAAGTCAACTCTAGTAACCCAACAATTCCACTCCTATGTATTTATCCAAAAGAAATGGAAAACATGTTCCTAAAAAGCCTTGTGCAAGAATGTTCATAACAGCTCTATCCATATTAACCCAAAACTGGAAACAGCCCAAGCACCATCAACAAGAGAATGATAAACTGTGATATGTTCCTACAATGAGCACTACTCAGCAAAAGAAAGGAACAAACTACTGATATTGAAAGGAATATAGCTGAATCTCAAAAACCCAGACCCAGAACATTACAATCATCCCTTGGTATCCACAGGGAATTGGTTCCAGGACACCCCACCCCTACTCCAGATACCAAAATCCATGGGTGTACAAGTCCCTCCTCTAAAATAGCATAGTATTTGCATATGACCTATACATATCCTCCCATACACGGTAAATCATCTCTAGATTACTTAATAATACCTAACACAATGTAAATGCTATGTAAACGGTTGCCATACTGTATTTTTATTTGTATTTTTTTATTGTTGTGTTATTTTTTACTGTTTGTTTTCAAGTATTTTCAGTCCGCAGTTGGTTTGAATCTGCAGATGTGGAAGCTGCATGTATGGATTGCTGACTATACTGGATGATTCCATTTATATGAAGTTAAGAACAGGTCAGACTAATCTGTGAATGTAAAAATCTGAAGAGTGGTTGCTTCTGGAGGTCAAGGAGACTGACTGGAAACATGCATAAAGGAACTTAGTGCGGTGATGGAAATGTTTTCTGTATATCTTGATAAAGATGAGGGTTACATGCGTATATGTGTGCTTTTACCAAAACTAATGTAACTGTGTAAGATCTTTATATTTCACTGTATGCAAATTAGGCCTTGAAAAAATATATAAATAAAGTAAGCAAGGCGAAAAGTTATGTTTGAAAATGTTTTTCACTCATGAAAGTTCCAGAAAACCTTCTACTATGTGAGTAGTACTCAAAAAAGAACATACAGAGTGAACAGTGGTGAACTTTTAAAAGTGAACTTCCTGTATTAGGGTTCGTCAGAGAAACAGAACCAAGAGGATGTGTATCGAGACTGAGACAGGGTGGGGGGCATGGGGAGAGAAATGGAAATAAAAGGTATATAGATTGGGATGGAAGAAATAGAACTGTTTGCAGATGACATAATTGTCTATTTAGAAAATCTGAAAGAACTGACCAAAAAAAACCCTCCTAGGGATTATAGCAAAGTTCCAGAAGACAAGGTTAATATATGAAAGTCAATTGCTCTCCTATATATGATCAATGAACAATACCATTTACATTAGCACCCCACAAAATAAACGACCTAGGAATAAATCTAACAAAACATACAAGATCTACATGAGGAAAACTACAAAACTCTGATGAAAGAAATCCAACAAGATACAAACAAATGGAGAGATATTCCATGACAAGGATAGGAAAAGTCAATTATTGGTAAAATGTCATTTCTTCCCAACTTGACCTACAGAGATTCAGTGCAATCCCAATCAAAACTTCTGCAAGTTATTTTGTGAATATTGACAAACTGATTCTAGAGTTCATGGAAAGACAAAACACAATACTGGAGAAGAACAAAGTTGGAAGATTGATATTACCCAAGACTTACTATATCGCTACAGTGATCAT